ACTGCTGAAGATGAAACTATAGTAAAGTTTGCAAAGCTTTCACAACAACAACAACAACAACCTGAACCTGCACAACTAGTGAAGCGTGTCTTTTTTGAAAATAAACGTAAAAAAGCCATCCTTCAGGGGTACCTAAAGTAAGTTAGCAGAAATTATTCCTTAAAGTGCGATTATAAAGTCTGAAATTTAAAATATGACATTTATAAGTATTATATGACTTTTTATTTTTAGCAGACCTCACCATCATGTTATTTAATTCCTTATATATATATTATCAAGAAATATCTGATATCGTAATATCGGTGACAAAAGCATTTACACTTCATTGGCTGCTTTATAATTCAAAAATGCATTAGTATCATATCATTACTTTTCTTATCTATTAATAGGAGTTTTATGTAATACAACAAAATTGTACTTATATAATATATATAGGCAAAATGTGCAAAATACGTTATTGTTTATACTCAACTATCAATTTAGAAACACTCTGCTTAAAAATATGTACTTACCTCTCGCGTGTTTAGCCACATGTATAAGGATGCTTGTATAGTTTGTTTTCGGACTGGTTTCGTCAAAGCTCTTATAGTGTGCCTTTTTTTCCAACTCAGTGTAAACGGCACCGAGAGTAAAGAAACAGTTCGAGTTGCCCTTACTCTTATCGTCAAAATTGTGGAAAAGCAGTGCCATTACATACCAGTGAAACCTACTCAATATCTTTCGAAAGATGTGGCCAATTTGAGTGTATGAACCGTTCATCCTGGTCAGGAGGTTATAATAAGGCTTTTTCTTGTCAAATATTTCATTCTGTCCACCAGCAGTTAGTAGAGGTATATTCCAAGCAACGGAGTAACGAGCCAATGGTGCAAGTACGTACGGACAGAGTGGACCGAGAAAAACGTCCACTTCACCAGAGATGTAAGAATCAATTGCAGCTAGAGGACCATGTTTTGAAGAGCATTGTGTATTTTTTCTATAAACCTCTAGTGAACGTCCTCCGAGAGGACCCTGAGCACCTTGTGCTTCCAACTTGCGAACAGCGTACGCTACTCCAGTTAATACTTTACTCAGACAATACGGAAGAGTCGGATCTTCTGGAGCTAAAACCAATAACCGTATGGTGCGATGAGTACCCCCCGCAGCTGCTAAAGCTTTTTGTCGGAAAGTTGCGGCTACTTTAGGTTGGGCTTTAGCGAACATTACAATGTTCTCGATTTCAGAAGCGCCTAACGCCGTAACGATCACAACCATGATTATCACACAGAGCAACGTCATTGTTGTCATGTTTCTCTGATATAACAATAGTGAAATAAAAACGCCCAAGTTTTCTAAATACTAACGTAGAACATGGTACGATATGGATTATCAACGAAGCTAACAGAAAAAATAAGATATTTAAATATTACATAATACATATTATTTGCAATGAATAATTCCTCTGCTAATCCAGATAATATACCGAGTATGAATAATGAAGATGAAATACCGACAAAACGAAAGCGACAAAGGAAAGTTAACTATGAGACAAAAACCCAAAAGTCAACTGTCACGGTCTTGTACACACTCACCGTGAAAGTTCAAAACAAAAGTATGGTTCTCATACGTCAATATCATGTTGCCATACTTTCCACTTTATGATCTAATAACATAAAGCAAAGTTAATTAAAACCAGCTAATAATATCAATTTAGATCAAATATTTCTTACTGAAAAGCAGCGATCCAGTAAACTAAAGACACACTTAACTCTATCAACGAACAGTTACTCTGATACCACATACGTCTCTGTGGAAGATCCGAGGCTTTACTAAACGTATATAACTTTGTTTAACTTGAATTTCTTTTAGCAAAAATGCAAAATATATGCGCCAGAGCTTTCGTCATTTTTCTAATAGCTAAAGAGAACAATCCAATTATTTCTTATCAACGTTCTAAATAAACCAGATTCTTTAGCTCACAGCTATAGCAAGGCATTTTTCTTAGGAAATGCAGAGGTATCTTATGGCGCTTTCCTGTAACTGAACCAGTTTCAGCTTTGACAAAGTTCCGCAGACTTCTTATCATTCCCCAGTGAGAACTCACGAAGCGGAAGGAACGCCCTCTCATGCGAAATGTCGACAAATAAGAAGAAGCAAAACAATGAACAGTTCTGCATCTCTATTCCTAGGCTTTAGAAGATATTTAACCAAACCATCATTTGAAAAAAAAAGACAATATATTCGATATCTATATACGTGGATGTGAGCGCGTTTCAAATTTAGACTCGAATAATTCATAATTGTGTCGAGCGTTTCATCAGTTTGTCATCCATTTTCTCTTGTTAATTTTTAGTCTACATACAATGAGTTTATATTCTACTGCAATATTTTTTATAACACGATAAAACGTTTTGAGATTTGAAGCTGTATCCATTAGCTAGCTCGATTAGTTGTTAAAATAGAGATAACTTTTCAACTTAATATTCAAATAAACATTGTCATTTCACCTAAATTCTTAACTTGATATTTTTATTTCTGTACAGAGCCTAATTTCCATCATAACTTAGTTCATGATGGTATAAACCCTTCACCAAAAAGGAGACGGTAAGTGATATTTTAAAAGGGTTTGGAATGAGGATAAAAATAGATATTTGGTTGTACTTTATAGTAGTTGTTTAATACTGATCTATCTAAGCATTTATACGGTATACAAAAATCTCAAAAGATTTACAACGCTAAGTTTAGAGGTTTGATTCCCCTCTAGAAACAACACATAAAAAAACACCTACCATTCAGTTAAAGTTGTCATTCAATATCATTGTGATGTAGCATTTTTTAAAATTTCGTCTAAGCATTTATTATTGACAGTATTAGCCTTAGTTGATAAATGTTAGCAATATTTGAGATGTTTACACTATATAATTTTAATTATCTACTCTGAAACTCAAGATGAGGATTGTTTGTTTGTTTGTTTTTGAATTTCGCGCAAAGCTACACGAGGGCTATCTGCGCTAGCCGTCCCTAATTTATCAGTGTAAGACTAGAGGGAAGGTAGCTAGTCATCACCACCCACCGCCAACTCTTGGGCTATTCTTTTACCAACGAATAGTGGGATTGAACGTCTCATTATAACGTCTTCACGGCTGAAAGGGAGAGCATGTTTGGCGGGATAAGGATTTGAACCTGTGACCCTCAGATTGCGAGTCGAGCGCCCTAACCACCTGGCTATGTCGGGCCCAAGATAAGGAATATTCTACTTATTCTTCACGGAAACAAAATTATTTAAGTAGAATGAGTATAGAAAAAAAAACACTATATAATTTTTTTTTCAATTGGTAGTTTGTAGAGATAGTTTTGATAGAAATTATAAGGAGAATAACATAGGCCTGCGAATTTAAAATTCATAAAAGTTGTTTTGGTTTTAATAACGGATTTTTCATAATTCAGATACGCAGCTTTTGAAAATAATATTCATTTTATCTATCTATTACAAATCGGGAAGAAAAAAAACCTTTACATAGATCAAATTATTACTTCGTTTACTAGAATGAACGTTTTGTATTATTTTGTTTGTTAACAAGAATACAAACAAACAGAAGAAAAGGGAAGAACATTGATGTCAAACGAATATGCATCCTCATTCATCCTGATTTCTGTGTGTGTAAAATCTAGGTCTTTTAGTCTCAAAACTACGTTTTGTGGTCTTTTACTTATGTATTGCGTCTGGAGCATCTCGTTTCAATGACCAGCAGTAATCAGCCATTATGCTGATGTTCCTGATACCTCCTCTCCATTTCTCTGATGTCTTGATGAAACCTTCCCCTTGTTCTTCGCTGACCCCATAGAGATTTTCAGGGAACTAGTCAATATGTGATTGTAAGAAATGAATTTTCAAGCTTATATTACAACCCAACTCTTTAAATTTATTGAGCATGTTATTAACAACATTTTCGTAACTTGGGTCCTTGTTGTTTACTAAAAATTTGTCAATAACATCTTTAAAGGCAATCCACGCTTTTTTTTTCAACTTTCCTCATTGTCCTTTCGAACTGTTCGTCCGAAGTCAATTTCATATTCTGAGGCCCCCAAAAAATTCCCTTCGTTAAGCTTAGCTTCTGATAGAGCTGGGAATTGCTCACATAGATACTTGAAACAGTCGCCATCTTTGTCTAAGGTCCTTACAAACGTCTTCATCCAGTCCAGTTCTATGTGAAGCGGAGGTAATAGGACTTGTTTTGTGTCAACCAGGCTGACTCTGCATGGCCATTGCTTTTTTATCTGATTTGGTGATTTGTCCCATTCCCACAAAAAACATGAAACTTTGTATAACCAGAAATGACACATCATACGGCCTGTTAACCGTTTATATACTAGCGGCGTGTTTCTCGTGGGTTCTAGATCGATCGATAACACTCTCACGTCGCGATTGGTATAGATAAATCTATAGCCAGTGGTTTTCAACATTTTAAGCATAGTAAAATGTGACCCGATTTTAATGAAAATGATTCACTTATATAAAAGTACTTATGAAGTTTTGTGAAAAATCTATACGTGATGGAGAAAATAAATATCATTTTCGGATTCAGACAATAAAACCATCGCAGGCCCGTGTAATCAACCAAGTTTTTTTGATAACATTTAAATAAAAGATGCATTTTTTATACGGGATCAGAAGATTGCTTATAAATGTCAACCTTATCAACCGATAAGACCAAACGCTCGTTTTTACGAACTTAGTAACATACAATCCATATAAATTTACTTAAGCTACCATTTCTCGTTACCTGAATACCATGAAATAGTGTTTTCAACGGATCAGAAATGTCTGTGTTTAGAGGTTTACAAGCCTAAGCCTCGCGTATGTAAGGTGGTGGTCTTTAACATGCACACTGAAGAGCTTAACAGAAAATAGGTCACTTGAAACGACATTTGCCATCAATAACAATGAAGTGGAAGAATGCAAGTTTAAGCCCTTTTTTCAGGAAGACTACCTTCTAAAATCATTGGACATACTAAATAAGAAGACACAATGTGTTTGTTTTTTTACTATAACCACATTAGTAATACTGATATCTTTACTCCAGGGGGAAACAACACTACCACTTTATAATGGAATTCTGAGAGCTTCTCAGTCTATTTCTCGTTTTTCTTCTTCTTGAGAGAAAGAGAAAACTAATTTGATATATCTTAACGATGTACTGGAATATTTTGTCCTTTAACATTTTGTCATTTTTGATTTTTTTTTACAGAAAAAATATAACATTATTAGATGGTAGGAGCAATTTTGTCTCTCTAACACAAACTCTCTCTCTCTCTCTATATATGTATATATATAGATATATATATATTTAGTG